CACCATCACATCACCCCATCATCACCGCCACCATCAACATCACCCCATCATCACCGCCACCATCAACATCACCCCCATCATCACCGCCACCATCAACATCACCCCATCATCACCGCCACCATCAACATCACCCCATCATCACCGCCACCATCAACATCACCCCATCATCACCGCCACCATCTAACATCACCCCATCATCACCGCCACCATCAACAGCACCCCATCATCACCGCCACCATCAACATCACCCCATCATCACCGCCACCATCAACATCACCCCATCATCACCGCCACCATCAACATCACCCCATCATCACCGCCACCATCAACATCACCCATCATCACCGCCACCATCAACATCCCCCATCATCACCGCCACCATCAACATCACCCCAGTCATCACCGCCACCATCAACATCACCCCCTCATCACCGCCACCATCAACATCACCCATCATCACCGGCCACCATCAACATCACCCATCATCACCGCCACCATCACATCACCCCATCATCACCGCCACCATCAACATCACCCCATCATCACCGCCACCATCAACATCACCCCCATCATCACCGCCACCATCAACATCACCCCATCATCACCGCCACCATCACATCACCCCATCATCACCGCCACCATCAAATACCTCACACCCCATCACTCACCCGCAACACCGTCAACATCAACCCCCATCATCACCGCCATCCATCAACATCACCCCATCATCACCCCATCATCATCACCCCGATCATTCAACCGCCACCATCAAATCACCCCATCATCACCGCCACCATCAACATCACCCCATCAATCACCGCCACCATCACATCACCCCATCATCACCGCCACCATCAACATCACCCCATCATCACCGCCACCATCAACATCACCCCATCATCACCGCCACCATCAACATCACCCCATCATCACCGCCACCATCAACATCACCCCCATCATCACCGCCACCATCAACATCACCCCATCATCACCGCCACCATCATCATCACCCCATCATCACCGCCACCATCAACATCACCCCATCATCACCGCCACCATCAACATCACCCCATCATCACCGCCACCATCAACATCACCCCATCATCACCGCCACCATCAACATCACCCCATCATCACCGCCACCATCAACATCACCCCATCATCACCGCCACCATCAACATCACCCCATCATCACCACCACCATCACAATGTAACCAACCACCCTCCCACCTCCCCCATCATCAAGCCATCACTCACCTCATCCTGCCGGTGATGTCGGATGGACAGGCGCTGACGTCTGATAGCCCCATCATCACCATCACCACCATCATCACCATCACCACCATCATCATCACCATCATCACAAGCGCCGTGGTAGCAAAAGTCCAATGCAGACTGCACGGATGTCTCCATCGCAGCAGCCTACAGCTGCAACAGCAGCGGCTATAACATCAGCAGCAGCAGTAGCGGCTATAGCAGCAGTCGTAATAGCAGCAACAGGATCAGCGGCTACATCAGTAGCAAGCGCAGCGGCGTCAGTAGCAGTCGCTATGATAGCAGCATCAGCTACAGTAGCAGCAACAGCAGCGACGTCGGCTGAATCAGCAGCTCCATCACTAGAAATAACAGCAGCGTCAACAGCAGTGTCAGCTACAGCAGCAGCTGCAGCCGCATCTGCCGTGGCAGCAACAGCAGCAGCAGCTGTAGCAGCGTCAGCTACGCTGGGTAGCTATGCCGTGCTATTGTCACAGCAGCTGTAGCAGCGTCAGCTACGCTGGTGGCTATGCCGTGCTATTGTCACAGCAGCTGTAGCAGCGTCAGCTACGCTGGGGTGGCTATGCCGTGCTATTGTCACAGCAGCTGTAGCAGCTGTAGCAGCGTCAGCTACGCTGGGTTAGCTATGCCGTGCTATTGTCACAGCAGCTGTAGCAGCGTCAGCTACGCTGGGTTAGCTATGCCGTGCTATTGTCACAGCAGCTGTAGCAGCGTCAGCTACGCTGGCTGGCTATGCCGTGCTATTGTCACAGCAGCTGTAGCAGCGTCAGCTACGCTGGGTGGCTATGCCGTGCTATTGTCACAGCAGCTGTAGCAGCATCAGCTACGCTGGGTTAGCTATGCCGTGCTATTGTCACAGCAGCTGTAGCAGCGTCAGCTACGCTGGGTGGCTATGCCGTGCTATTGTCACAGCAGCTGTAGCAGCTGTAGCAGCGTCAGCTACGCTGGGTGGCTATGCCGTGCTATTGTCACAGCAGCTGTAGCAGCGTCAGCTACGCTGGGTGGCTATGTCGTGCTATTGTCACAGCAGCTGTAGCAGCGTCAGCTACGCTGGGTTAGCTATGCCGTGCTATTGTCACAGCAGCTGTAGCAGCGTCAGCTACGCTGGGTGGCTATGTCGTGCTATTGTCACAGCAGCTGTAGCAGCGTCAGCTACGCTGGGGTGGCTATGTGGTGCTATTGTCACAGCAGCTGTAGCAGCGTCAGCTACGCTGGGTTAGCTATGCCGTGCTATTGTCACAGCAGCTGTAGCAGCGTCAGCTACGCTGGGTGGCTATGTCGTGCTATTGTCACAGCAGCTGTAGCAGCTGTAGCAGCGTCAGCTACGCTGGGTAGCTATGTCGTGCTATTGTCACAGCAGCTGTAGCAGCGTCAGCTACGCTGGGTTAGCTATCCCGTGCTATTGTCACAGCAGCTGTAGCAGCGTCAGCTACGCTGGGTGGCTATGTCGTGCTATTGTCACAGCAGCTGTAGCAGCGTCAGCTACGCTGGGTTAGCTATCCCGTGCTATTGTCACAGCAGCTGTAGCAGCGTCAGCTACGCTGGGTGGCTATGTCGTGCTATTGTCACAGCAGCTGTAGCAGCGTCAGCTCCGCTGGGTGGCTATGTCGTGCTATTGTCACAGCAGCTGTAGCAGCGTCAGCTACGCTGGGTGGCTATGTCGTGCTATTGTCACAGCAGCTGTAGCAGCGTCAGCTACGCTGGGTGGCTATGTGGTGCTATTGTCACAGCAGCTGTAGCAGCGTCAGCTACGCTGGGTGGCTATGCCGTGCTATTGTCACAGCAGCTGTAGCAGCGTCAGCTACGCTGGTGGCTATGTCGTGCTATTGTCACAGCAGCTGTAGCAGCTGTAGCAGCGTCAGCTACGCTGGTGGCTATGACGTGCTATTGTCACAGCAGCTGTAGCAGCGTCAGCTACGCTGGGTAGCTATGTCGTGCTATTGTCACAGCAGCTGTAGCAGCGTCAGCTACGCTGGTGGTTATGTCGTGCTATTGTCACAGCAGCTGTAGCAGCGTCAGCTACGCTGGGTTGGCTATGCCGTGCTATTGTCACAGCATCTGTAGCAGCGTCAGCTACGCTGGCTGGCTATGCCGTGCTATTGTCACAGCAGCTGTAGCAGCGTCAGCTACGCTGGGTGGCTATGTCGTGCTATTGTCACAGCAGCTGTAGCAGCTGTAGCAGCGTCAGCTACGCTGAGTTAGCTATGCCGTGCTATTGTCACAGCAGCTGTAGCAGCTGTAGCAGCGTCAGCTACGCTGGGCTAATCTATATCGTGCTATTGTCACAGCAGCTGTAGCAGCGTCAGCTACGCTGGTGGCTATGTCGTGCTATTGTCACAGCAGCTGTAGCAGCTGTAGCAGCGTCAGCTACGCTGGTGGCTATGCCGTGCTATTGTCACAGCAGCTGTAGCAGCTGTAGCAGCGTCAGCTACGCTGGGCTAATCTATATCGTGCTATTGTCACAGCAGCTGTAGCAGCGTCAGCTACGCTGGTGGCTATGTTGTGCTATTGTCACAGCAGCTGTAGCAGCTGTAGCAGCGTCAGCTACGCTGGTGGCTATGCCGTGCTATTGTCACAGCAGCTGTAGCAGCATCAGCGATGTGGCTGGCTGGCACGTGACGTCACGAATTCGGAGCGCTCGCGCGCTGGATGAGATGATGGGGGATGGAGCTGATGATGATGATGGTGGTGGAGCTGCTGATGATGATGATGGTTGGGATAAAGATAAATTATGATGAAGCTGATGGTGATGGAGCTGATGATGATGATGGTGGAGCTGCTGATGATGATGATGGAGCTGCTGATGATGATGGGGGATGGAGCTGATGATGATGATGGTGGTGGAGCTGCTGATGATGATGATGGTGGGGATAAAGATAAATGATGATGAAGCTGATGATGATGGAGCTGATGATGATGATGGAGCTGCTGATGATGATGATGGTGGAGCTGCTGATGATGATGGGGGATGGAGCTGATGATGATGATGGTGGTGGAGCTGCTGCTGATGATGATGGTGGGGATAAAGATAAATGATGATGAAGCTGATGATGATGGTGGAGCTGCTGCTGATGATGATGGTGGAGCTGCTGCTGATGATGATGGTGGAGCTGCTGATGATGATGGGTGATGGAGCTGATGATGATGATGATGATGGTGGTGGAGCTGCTGATGATGATGGGGATAATGGGGATTAAGATAAATTATGATGAAGCTGATGATGATGGAGCTGATGATGATGGTGGAGCTGCTGCTGATGATGATGGGGATAAAGATAAATTATGATGAAGCTGATGATGATGGAGCTGATGATGATGATGGTGGAGCTGCTGATGATGATGATGGGGATAAAGATAAATGATGATGAAGCTGATGATTATGGTGGGTATGGAGCTGACGATGATGATCAATGATGATGATGGAGCTGATGATGATGATTGGAATGAAGTTGATGATAGTGGTGATGGAGCTGATGATGATAGAGCTGTTGATGATGATGGGAATGAAGTTGATGATGATGATGCTGATGGTGGGATGAAGCTGCTGCTGCTGATGATGGAGCTGCTGATGATGATGATGGCAGTGAAGCTGATGATGATGAGGCTGACGTTGAATGGGACGACGTTTATTATCATGATAATCGGGGCAGTAATTTCTCTTACAACCGCCCCTCCCCCACCTCAGATGTCCCCCACCCCCGCACCCACTCCGCCCCCTGTCCACAGTGGTGGTGGTGGGAGGTTATTTTCCGGAGCACAGCCCCAAGACAGCTCCAGCTAAGTCCTGATCGATAGAAAGATTTGTTTTTTTGTGCCCATAAATAAAACACCCACAGATCCGCACAGATCGATTCAAGAATCCGAGATCTGCCAACGCTGTTGGGAGGGGTGCGCTTTTCGTCGTGACGTCCCGTGTCACTCCACTGCTGGATGAGGGCCGCCCCCACCCACCCCAACGCCAGGTGTATGCATGTTGTATGTTGCGTGTATGTAGCATGTATGTTGCGTGTATGTAGCATGTATGTTGCGTGTATGTAGCGTGTATGTAGCATGTGTAATGACAGGGAAGTCGCTCGTTACACATGTAAATAGCATGTATGTTGTATGCATGTAGCATGTGTGTTGTATGTATGTTGCATGTGTAGTGACGTATATTGAGGTCACTATGGCGTCTCGCGCCAGCTATTGGAAGAAGGGCGGTGCAATCTTGATTTGAAGCTTTCGTGAATGCAGGGATTCATACTCTTTGGTTCTTTCGGTAAAGTATAGTAGTAGGTTTTTACCCTTTTAAACTGGTACAAAACTGACACCTTTATACAAGGCATCATGTTTGCAATAACCACAACACAAGCAGTCACCAATGGGGACTAGGCTCTAAAGAAAGCCGTCTCGGGTGTGGACCAATCAACTTCAAGGACAGTGCATATCATTATCATTATCAGAGTTGTTTATTTTTGTTGGCTTTTTTGACTACTTGTGTTGTGGTTATTATTGCAAACATGATGCCTTGAATAAAGGTGTCAGTTTTGTACCAGTTTAAAAGGGTAAAAACCTACTACTATATTTTGCCACTTGTAAAAGAGATCTTTCGGTAAAGTCACGTAGGTAGAAAAATAAAATTAAACAAAAATAATATTTTGATTTAAAGCTTTCGTGACTGCAGGGATTCATACTCTTTGGTTATTTCGGTAAAGTCACGTAGAAGGGAAATAATAAAATAATTAAAATATAAAACAATAAAATTCTGACGACGTTTCGACTGCAACACAAGCAAATCATCATCAGGTGTGAAATCCACAGCAAGAACATTTTCTTGCTGTGAATTGTCTTGCCGTGGATGTCACACCTGATGATGATTGCTTGTGTTGCAGTCGAAACGTCGTGAGAATTTTATCGTTTTACATTTTAATTATTTTATTGTTTTATATTTTTATTCTTTTATTATTTCCCTTCTACGTGACTTTACAAAAATAACCAAGAATATAAAAATAATATATCACGTTTCAATCGCGATGGAAACGTCGTGATACATTATTTTAGTTTCATCTTATTTGTCTACCTACGTGACTTTACCGAACGAACCAAAGAGTATGGGGAGGTGCAGTGCATGTGAGCGAATCTCTCTCTGGCACCAGAGTGAGCATGGCATAGAAGCGGGCCCCAGGCGTCCTGCTCATGGTGACGGCCAGATAGAGGGCACGTGACCAGCAGAGGGTAGCGAGGGGGGGCCAATGGGTGGCGAGAGGGACACGTGACAGAAGGCCCAGAACCTTCTGGGAGGATCTAGAAGGAGGCGTGGCCTAGGGCTGGCCAGGCCACGCCCAGGGGCATAAAAGGGAGGTCCCGAGCGCCGATCAGGGCTGTCTTCTGGAATCAACCTGCCGTGGTACATCTCCTCGGTCTTCGGTCGTCACGTTCGGCATCGTGGGTCAGGCGGTACGTTACTGACCTGACCTGTATTCTTGGTTCTTTCGGTAAAGTCACGTAAAATGGAAATAATAAAATAATAAAAATAAAACATAATTAAACAATTCTCACGACTTAAAGCTTTAGTGACTGCAGGGATTCATCTTCTTGGTTCTTTCGGTAAAGTCATGTAGAAGGGAAGTAATAAAATAATAAAAATAAAACATAATAAAATAATATAATAAAGTAATATAATAGTGTAAAATAATGTTTGATTTTTATTATTTAATTACTTCCCTTCTACGTGACTTTACCGAAAGAACCAAGAAGATGAATTCTCACGACGTTTCGGCCACAACGCAAGTAGCCGTCCTCAGGTGAAGAACAGGTCTGTCGCCTCGACAGACCTGGTTTTCACCTGAGGACGGCTGCTTGCGTTGTGGCCGAAACGTCGTGATAATTACTTTATTATGTTTTATTTTTATTATTTTATTACTTCCCTTCTACGTGACTTTACCGAAAGAACCAAGAAGATGAATCCCTGCAGTCACGAAAGCTTTCAATCGAAATTTGACCTGACCTGGTTATTTAGTTGCTTCGTCGCGGGTTTAGACGCTAGTGGAAGTTAGCTACCACCGTTGTCGTTACCCCGAACGTGTATGTAGTTACCCTGTCGGAGTGTTGCACCTAACGTGTTGCCTCCAAGTTCCAGTGTGTGTCTGCATGGAAGCCACTACTCACGTATGTAGCTGCGGAAATAAGAAACAAGGCCAGAAAGGACAAAGTCTTCTCAAAATAAGCTCGTTTATTCAACATCATCATTATAATATATATCTACACATACGTGGTGCATGTATACACATCCCAGTGTCTGTGTGTGTGCCACAAGAGAACCTGGTGCGGTGTGTAAACATCGCCACGAGGGAGACAAAGGCGGCCGGGCGTGGACTTCATAGTTGCCGCTACTCGCTAAACAGCACTTGCACCCAACACTCTTGCAGGCTACACGGAGTGTTCTTCTTGGTTCTTTCGGTAAAGTCACGTAGAAGGGAAATAAAAAAAAAAACATAATAAAATCATTCTCACGACGTTTCGGCCACAACGCAAGCAGCCGTCCTCAGGTGGAGAACAGGTCTGTCGAGAAGCCAGAGTCTGAATGGCACGTCCCAGGCTTGGAGCGACTATTTATGCTCGGATGGAGGGGGGAAGAGCGTCTTGACAAAATAATTTGCATACACGGAGTGTCTTTGCTTTTGTGTCCCAAGAGGGGCAGTTATTGAAGTTTTGAGAAGAGGCGTCAAGCACCGCACACGACCTCGGCAACACACGCACGCTTATTGCTCCGATACTCAACTCCGGCTCAACTCACCCACCGCTACTCGCCACTGATACTGACCCCGTGCACCGGCGGGGGGTGGTAGGTCCCGACTTACAGGTTCCCGACGTTCGCTAATTCCCGGCGGAGTAGGGGGCACCGGTCCTCGGTTGACGCGGCGTGTTGATGCGTTACCCAAAAAGCGTCGCGTGAAGAGGGGAAAAACGATTTGGCCCTAACGTGACGCAATATGCGCTGCAGGGAATCCTCTACTTGTGAACGAGCTAGGCTCCCCACAGGTTCTGTTCGTAAGTCGATTTGTTCGCAAGTCCAAACTTGCCTCCTGTCGATTCCAAACACGTTGTTGTAGGGCGTGTACACTAAACACGGGGAATGGCTTTGAAAGTTACGTAATCTTCTGCAGATGTAGATGCCACAGGTTCTTCACGTTCTGCGTTTGTAATTGCCACTGGTTCTTCACGTTCTGCCGATGGAGATGCTACTGGCTATTCACGTTCTGCAGATGTAGATGCCACTGGTTCTTCACGTTCTGTAGATGTAGATGCCACTGGTTCTTCACGTTCTGCAGATGGAGATGCTACTGGCATCTCCATCTGCAAAATTAATAAAAGTATAAGTATAACCCGTGAAAACTAAGTTTTTCACTATAAATCCTTTATATGCGTGGCGGCTAGAGTCCTCTCGTCCTCTGGCTTGAGATGGCTGCCACCTATGGGTCAGATGATTGTCTGCCAGTATTAAGCAATTGGTAATTAAATATTTAATTTGTTTTCCCTAAACAGTGTAAAATTTTGGAAAAAAATTTTTCACGAACATTAATTGTCTCGCACAACGAGTCTGTGTGCAAAATGTCAGCTCGATTGGATCACGGGAAGTGGGTTAAAAAACGACCGAAAGATTTGCACGGTCGTAAGCAAGCAAGCAAGCAAGCACGCAAGCAAGCAAGCGAACTTAATATAAAGGATTTAAAAATAAAAATAAAAATCACGACGTTTCGGAGGCAACACAAGCTTCCGTCTTCAGGTTTTTATTTTATTTTACTTTTATAAT